CTTAAAATTTTTTGTTTATCAGTGAGCTCACCCCCCCACCTACCTTGCCCTAAAGTTTGGCACGTTACTTCTGGGACACCCTGTATATACATATATTGCTTTTCATATCAATTCAAGTCAACATAACAGTTATTGATGAAAACTGTCATGGAAAAATTCACTATGAAGGAAATATTCTACAACTAAGTGATACACACCAATCGATTTCTTTTTTCATCGAGTCTCAAATTTGAAAATAATTTTTTTGCAATTTCTATGCAAAATTAAAAAAAATAACAATTATTTTTCATTTTTATATTATAAATCCAAAATAACAATTATTTTTGATTTTTATATCATATGTCTTAGATAGCAGTTATTGAAGACTTTAAATTTATTATAATTTATAAAAGTCATAAAAATCAGCCAGTGACTTTTACTTTTAAAAGTCATCAATATAAATCAGCCACCGACTTTTATTTTTTAAATCATTCGTTTAAAAGTCATTAACATTTTTCGCAGTTTAGAAGGTGTTGGGAAACAAATGTTTACTACCACTTATACAAATGACTTATAGGTATGATTTAAAAAATAAAGGTCAGTGACTGATTTTTATTTATNTTCGTTTAAAAGTCATTAGCATTTTTCGCAGTTTAGAAGGTGTTGGGAAACAAATGTTTACTACCACTTATACAAATGACTTATAGGTATGATTTAAAAAATAAAGGTCAGTGACTGATTTTTATTTATGACTTTTACAAATAAAAGTCTTCGATAACTGTTGTCTAAGACATACAATTTAAAAATCAAACATAACTGTTATTTGCAGATTATTTAGATAAAAATCAAAAAATTATTTTTATTTTGGATTTATAAAATAAAAGTCAGAAATAACGGTTATTTAAGGAGTAATTAAATAAAAGTAAAAAAATAATTGTAAAAGAGCGATTTCTTTAATAAAAGTTGTAACTGTAACGGTCCCTGATTAATGTGTCTATTACATGCGCCCCACGCTTTTCATAAATAAAAAGTTAAATAAAAGCCTGTAAAAAAAGTTCGGAACTGTGCTGTTCGTAGAAACAAAAAGGTAAGGAAAATTAAATCGTTTTGCATGCCTCAGTATGTTGTACTATTTAAAAATTAGTCATATCGGC